TGGGCACTATATAAATTGCAGCAAAATTCTTGATTATGCGAAGACAAAACAGATTAGAAGGCAAAAGCTGAAAAATATGACCTATTAAAAAACCAGAACATTTTTAGTGGTATAAGGAAGCATCTGATCCAACAGATAAACTGGACCAACACTGCACTTCTGATTTGTTGAAAAACAAAAAGAAAGAGACCTGCATGTTTTCCCTGCTTCCCCTTCCCTCATCCACCCTGAAATCCTCCCAACTTTTGAACCTAAAGGGTTCCTACGAGAGGCAGCTGGTTTTGAACCCAGCACTCAGATCTCAGCATGCAGCCAGCAGCTGAAATGTATAAGTGACTTTTCACTCTCTCCCAGCTTCTGCATACCATCCATCGGCTTTTTTTTAAGCAAAGTTCAGACAGATGAAAGTAACAGAAGGGAGCCAAGACACTGTGCCTTAAAAATACTCACTGTTGCCTCACTCCTTAACCCCAACCCTTTGCTTGGGTCCTAAACAAGCACTGAATTTCCTTAGATTCTAAAAATACTACTACACCAGAAAGGAACTGTATCTATTTAGAAGGTGTTTTTCACATCCATTGTCATTTTGTGGCAAGGCAAAGTAAAAGTAAGTGTATTTGTACTTGCTGTGGCATCTTCCACAAAAAACAGACACACACAAAAACTTCCTTAAAGACACACAGTAGTTTCTTTTCCCATGTGATATGAAAGGTACCACATATCATTCTCAACAACAAAGTTCATTTGACTAGTTTATTAGAAATTCGCCATTAAAATGAGCCTCAGCTATGCAGTAATTCTAAAACGAGAACACAACGTTGTAGCAAAACATCAGGGAACTTAAGCTGCCACAAGCTACTAACGCACCTTCCATTCATATTTACCATACCAGCACCAATAAAAAAACCCTCCTGCTATTTGTACAAACTCAAGTTTACAGGCAGGCAACTTTTGTGGCTTTTAAGCCATAAATAGCTTTTAAAGAAGGAAAAATTATTCCTGATTGCTTTCTTACTAAGAATATTCTACACATATAACATTAGTGAGAAAAAGTGAAACCTGTTAGCTCCCCAACAAATGGAAGTTACCACTTGTATTCACAAACAGTTACAGGAGAAAGGAAAGTTGCTAAGTTTTCATATTTAAGACTAACAGATAGCTTGTTTCACCATCTCCAAACCTTACTGGATGCCCCTGTGTACTGAAACACGTTTCGTTTGTTTTTAAAAAATAACACCACAAAAACCATCAAACCACAACACAAAAACCCCTAGGTGGGAGGTCCAGAACTACGGACACCAGACACAGAGGCCAGGGAGGGATGTCATTAGATTAACACAGTTCCCTCTAAGTATCACAGAGAATTAGGCATCACAAAAACGATGAAGTTTGACAAGGAAAATGCAATTCCTGGTCAAAGTCTGAAGCGCATTGTACCAAGTAGATGCTAAATCCCAAGTCTGAACTACAGATGGTTTTCCAAACTCATGACTAGACTAGAGTAGCAAAGGACAAGCAATACGGGAACAGGCGAAGTCCCTTCTGTCAGCACCTTTACTCCCTAGCAGTGCCCTAGGAGGCTCCCATGGGTTTCAAATCAATGCTTTTTCAAAGCAGTTTCTCAGCTGCAGGAATAGTCAGTGCATTTCTTAAAAGCACGCCAAGAAGTTTGCGCAGCAAAGCAGTACTCCTATCATACCTTTGGTGCTGGTGTTATTCAGCTCTCTCCCCAAGAACTTATCAGACTATCAACTCATTATTGGAAGTGATTTTGAAAGACAATATTAATCTTACAGTGAAACCCGTGTTACGGAAGTACTGAAGTAATGGCAGACCAGAAAGGACACTAATTACTTAAAGTGCCACTTCTTGTTGACAAGTTTCCCTAAGACAACACATCACAGTTGATCATATTTTACTTCTCAAAAAGTAAAATATGTAAAAAAGATATTTACATGAATCCCAGAAAGACTAAAGACAAAAGAAGATAAATGTTACCCATGACCAGACTGATCAAATCATTTAACTTCTTCCCGCACGGCCAGCCTTAATGCACTATTTGATTTTTCTGACTCAGGAGACGGAGCTGGAAAGCTAGCCGTGCTCCTCCGGTTGCCCTCAATGCTTGGCAACCAAATCCGTTGCTCTTCCTCCCACCCTCAGCTTTTCTTAACACAACAACTAATACAACCCACGAAGGGAATGACCAGTCTCCACAGCATCGCAGCTCTGCTTCGTGTGGAGCAACACGACGCAGGATGGCAACAGAGACAGATTACAAAGGAATCGGCAGTAAGTAAAGCTTCATCACGAGGATTTTATGGCCATCAGTAAAGTGCAATTGTTCTTCAGGAAAGCAAAAGAGCTGTTCCTTTAGTATAATTTTTAGCAGAACTGATTCATCTTCATGTCAAGAGAAACTCGTGATGGAATTACAAGGTAGTGCAACAAAATATACCATTTTGCCTGCCGTAATTGCTGGAACTGCAAAGAGCATGCATAGGAAAACAACTATTGGTTTCTCTAAGTCACAAGATCTAGACACTAGACTACAACGCTGCTCTGAAATGATTTGTAACATCTGCTTCTGGAGTAGTATGATTTCATCAAGTTATAAGTAATCTCACCCCATTTTCCACACTGGTATTTGTGAAAGTGAAGCAGGCAAAACCGTTCTAACCACGAAGTTTCTGTTTCTAATGCAACTCGAGTAACATGAACGGGAGTAAGCCCATTTATAGGGAATACACCACTACTTCAGTATTTGCTTCTGCCTTTTTTGCCTCCTGCCATCTGTCAAATGAAGGAAGCTTGAACACTAAACTAGAAGAAACTGCCAGACTTCATAGAACCAGTTTCTAGTTCCACAATAAACACAAAAATCATATCTAATTATGATTTAAGATCTTACCGGAAAAAGCAAATTAGACTGCAGTTTACTTCAAGAATGAAGCTGAATGGTACTCTAGCCTCATCTCCAGAATGACCCTCAACACCTTTTACCCTGCAAGATACCATATGTGTATATCAGACAGCATTTGCTTTGTCATTTTTAACGCCCTCCTCCCCCCCCTTTTTTTAAACACGAGCTTACATTCCTTGTTTTTAGCAGTAAAAACACACCACCATCAACTCCTATGCCTGAAGTGCACCTCGAACAACAGGAAGGACAGGGTAAGACTCATACACCCAGCCAAAAACTTTTAGTTTATGACAACCAACGTGATAATGTACTTATAATTAGTAGGCGACATTTCAAAGCTGTTGACTTTAACTTCCCTGCTTCACTTGACATATTTAGCTGAAGGCAAAACAAGACTGTTTTCCTGTTGGTATCTCACACTAGAAGAGAAATCAAGTGTCCTTTCCACTGTACATCTTTCCTTTCCCCCAGTAGTAAAATCAACAGTGACAAACACACTGAAGATTCATTTTTGCTAGCATCATCAGCATCAAGGGTCGGGTTTTTTTTGTTTTGTCATTTTTACAAGTTCCTTTTATGCATGATGTCAGTAAAAAAAAAAAATCTAACAGAGAAATTAAAGAACTCAGAGCAGGGAAAACTAAACATAAAACTATGATACTATTTCCATGTGAAAAAATATGGAAAAATTGCCAGCGACCCTGGTGCCATATCCTTTGCATGCTGAAAACATGAGAAAAGAGAAACAACTCCAAAAAAAAATTTAAAGGTACTAAAACATACTGCAATACATTTCCCACATAGTTTTGCAAACAGCTTTAATGTGTTGTACAAGACCAATGCTGACAACAGAAGCTTCAGCTTTTGTTGCTGATACCCTGAGCAATTAATGCGACT